TAATTTCCCTGTCGCACTTCTTTTTGATGGTGGTAATAAGCATTCCATTATTTGTCACAAATAACTACTACTCGTTTACCTACATATCCACGTCATTCCTTACTGTTTTCCGATATTCAAGAAGAAGAATTTCATTAACTACGAGTAATATAGATATACACCAGCCATCGCTGTTTGTGTTTTATACTGTTTGGTCAAATGTAATTGTACGTCTTTGAAAACAGGTTCTATCCAAAAAATTTGCAGAAAATCTCGCAGTGAAATATTTGTTTTTGCGGATCAACATAAAACGTCATTGTAAAAATAGATCGAGAATTATGCGGTTGTGATCTCAAAAACGGAAACGAATTGGAGAAATTTTAGCTTTGTTGTTTGTAAATGCATTTTTCTCGGATATACAATATATGTATGTACATATAATATATAGAAAAGCACTTGGCACAAGATTTCAAATTATCCTTTTTCGTGCAGATTAGTTAACAAGAAATTCAATCAAACCGAGAGTAATAATGTACGACGTTACGTGACATGGTAGTGGCTAATGACGAATAACATCGCGCAAGATGATAAAGTATAAAGCAGAAAGAAAGAAATCTGGATAAAAGAAAATATTCATTTATCGCCTATTACAATGATCGAAAAACTGTATACTCGAATATTTAAAGTTAGAAAATAGACAAATATTATCTAACGATCGTTTCAACAATTCGATCGCGCAAGTCTTCAAGATTGACTAAAGCTGAAATGAGTTATCGCGTCGTTCGAACGAATTGATTTTTATTATTAATAATTCGCCATTTACACCCCACGTAAGCCCATGACCTATTACGAACCCTTCTTGTCTCTTATTTGCGTCACCTGTCTATTTTATTGTATGTAACCTACGTTACTGCAAAATCGATCTACAGTCAGTTTATTCTTGTACGAATAAAGCGACATCTTCTCTGCCCGAAACTAATTATAAGAAGGAACCTGCTACTCGTAATTCGTTACTTGAATTTTGGCCGCGTCCAGCTGATATCATATAACTTTATATCATCGGTATTCGCGTCTATATAACATTGTGTCGTGGAATTTCTCCTAGAATGCATCGAAAGAATAATTTCTATTTTATTTGATAAATAAATAAATTTTATTTACGCGTACAAGCATATTTATCCTTAATACTGGACATAACTACCACATCATTGTATTTTATACAATATGATGATACTCAAACGTGATTAGTGATTAGTGATTTTCAAAGGAATCAAACAAGCAAAAATTCCAAAGCTATAAAATAGAAGATAGAACAATCGCAAATGCAATTGAGAAAATAGAATTTTGCTCAAGCATTATATAAAGGCAGAGGATATTATATTATGTATGTATAAAGAATAGAGAGAACATGGATTTCATTGACGCTCGGTGTACGGTCTCGCGTTTCTCACGCTCTTATTCTTTAGTAACTGTTGTAAGTTGTAATTTGTAACAATTCCGGCATAGCATTGCGAAAGGAGATCCAAGTTGGTTCCTTTCGACGAGGAAAAGGCGACATTGAATGTTGCCGATGTGGTCGATTGTTAGAGTTGGAAACAACATATACAAAGAATAACAATAAACGGGTCGACGGGGATTATTTAACTAACGGTAACGGTATGTATGAATCGCCATCGCCATCACCATCGCTCGTTCGACGCGATGGTCGAGCTCACCCGACTGGTCTAATTGTCGTGAAAATGTTTACAGGAAATCACGCGATAAAATCTTTCGCTTCACGCTATGTCGCATAGAGTTACTATATGAGTTTCAGATTCTCTATTCCGATCAATTGCGACGTTGTGTTGCAACGAAATATAATTTAACGATGCTCAGTTGAAATAGAAGAATTACGTTATACGATATACTACATTGACTCATTAAGATAATGCAACACCTAACACAGAAAGCTTTCATTGATTTATCATAATTACATTGGTAACATTTGAAACTAATGCAAGAATATATACGAAACGTACACACGGTTCTAAGTTTAAATTATGACTAATAAATATCACTCATTTTTTCATACAACTATTTACTACCCTCTTTCCCAATGTTAAAATCGTGCAAGTTTCGTTCAAGCAAACGGATATTATTGAAAAAGAGATTACTTGCAAACGCAAGCAAATATTAACTTTTAGCATAATTTAGCGAAATTATAACGAAAGATAGGTCAAATTATCTCTATAATCTATAACATTAGAAGAAATAGCTAAAGAAGTATTGAATGTAATCAAAACGCTCTGATAATCAAAGTACTTGTAATAATAATGAAGTGATTTTGAAGCGGTAAGCAGAAGAAAAATCTTACTTCCGTCGATGCTGTCGGAAGTCAGAACACACCTGTCGAATCGTAGTGTTTTTTCGAGTCTGTCCAAGTGGAAGCAGCAGAAATGCTAAAGGAAAAGGACCAACTACGACAGACGGAAAAATATCAATTTCCTGATTTATGTCGTTGCGTCATCGTATCGGTTCCTCGCAACGTTTGCATTCCCAATTACCTGTGTTCCTCCCTTCTTCTCTTTCCTTTCTCTTCTCCCTCACTCCACTATATATAATACATACATACACAGCTTACTCATCCAATGATTCAACTGCTAATCATCTGCATAACCTACCAAGAATAGAATTAATTCCGAAAGATAACTTGACACGAGTTTCTATCCTCTAACATCTCTTCTCGATCTCAAAATAAAATATCCTGCATATACATACGTAAGTATGTATGTATTGATTAATGGGGAAGAGGTTATATTTGGAATATTTGACATTTCCATTTTCCACATACATTTGGAGGCAAAGCAAACTTTCTTCTCACTTTTTCAAATGCATATATATATATATAAAAAAATTTTTATTTTATATTTTCGACTTCTTTTCTCGCGTAGAATCATCCCCTTTCCGCTTGTACCACCAGTTACCAACCATCCTGTACATACATACATACATTTATTTATACATATATATACATATATGCATACATACATATGTGCTGACTTATAACAGATGTAAATATGTACATACGAGTATAATACCATCTTTTAGCAGACTATTATTGGGTCATTTGAATTCAAATAATCTTATATCTGCTATAATTTCCAAACGACATTTTTTCATCCTTGTTATTCCCTCGAAATGTTTCCTTTTGATAAAATCAGTCAACAGTGTAGCACTGTAGCGTGCAATTTTAAGTCGTTCTCTTGTATCTACGTAAAGTTAAATATCTTTTTTGCAAACATTTCACCATTTTCCTTATAATAGCCGTGATATATGTATAAAATCGTGATTGATAGTTGTTCCGTTCGCTCCTTTATACACACATATGAAACAAGAAAGTGAGCATATTGACTTGCGAGTGACATTAGATACGAGTCTCTGAAATTTTATCTGCATAAATAAGGTATGACTTATGAAAGTTATGACAAAAACTTATCTTGAAAACTGACACATAATACATTGGCTTCTTTGAAACCAACACACGTATGTTAAACATGGAGAATATAGAAAATACAGAATATAGTAAATTGTGAGTTTCCAAGTTTTCATTTTGCAACTAGTGTCATTTTCTACTCTATTTTTAACATTATTTACACACTACTTTAAATTCTTACGATTAGTTGAATAAACAAATCTTAACTGAACACTGGTTTCATATAAAAAAGATAAAGGTATTAGTTCAGATATCGGTATCAGGTAATTTTTAAAGTACAGTAAAACAGAAAAATAATTTCTCCACGATGCATTGTCTTGAGGCACAGAAAGAGAGAAATAATCGAAAATCGCAGTAACGATTATGGTTGGAATTGGAAAGAAGAAGAAAACAAAAACGGTTTAACAAGTTTTATTTCCGAGGGATCTGTGAGAGAACAGTGTCTTTGATCGTGCCACGAACAAAGGAAAGGACCTGAGATCTGGCAACAAGGGAAACCTTTCGAAAAAGACCATAGTAGCGATGGTGGCAATAGCGCCGAGCGGAACGGCAGCGGTGGCCAAGCACGGTGCCTCCACCCTCCAAAAAACATCTGTCGGGTTGGAGTCGAACACACAGGCACACAGGACACGCCCGCATGAGCACTCGTTCGAACTTTCTCTACCAGCACCGGCTGTGCCCTGTGCTCCACGAAAAATACCATCGTTTCCTAAATACTAATCACCGAAAAACCTATAGCATCTAGAAAATAGAAATAAACTGGATACGTAATTTTTGTGAATCTTCAACGGCAGAATCTTGCAAAATTACAGGTTCTCTGAAACGACGTGTGATTTCTGTACCGTTATATACAATATACAATAATACACACATCTAGGTACTTCGATATTTCATAGATAAATGATACGAGATCCTGATTCATTTTCTTTTCTCTTTTCTTAGCAAACTAAATGAATCAGCTGCGGATATTTAGAACTTCAGATTTTTGTAAATAAGATTACAGAAATACAACTTAAATATGGATTCGTTTTATGTACTGAATATTATTATAAGTGGTACATGTCAGATATTTTATGTACTCTTACATATTATTGTACTCTTACATATTTATGTACATACATTCGAACATCTTTAAATTTCCCATTAAATGCATGGAAATCTGCAATTTAGTAATAATAAAATGAAATTAATCTTTTTAATCCTGCATACAGAATAAAAGAAAATTACATAATCAGAATAAATTAGGATTCTTAAACAAGCGTTTTATTACGTCCCATGATCCTACCATATACTATAATCCATCCTTCGATCAAGATGGCTACCAACTGTTTAAACATATTTACTCAAATCCGCAATAATCGTAACACGTTGGTCGCCACGTCACCCATATCTGGGAGACGGGTATGCTTCCGTGGGGGCCCGTTGCCCAAATATAGGTGACGCTCTTCTTGTTCGAGTTAATTAAATATAGGATATTATATATAGGATATACAAAATAAAAGAATTAAAAACACATTATACCATACTTTTTATTAATTTATATTCTGGATAAAATATTACATTATGTTATGTCGCATGGTATTTGTTAAAATATTCCAAACGCATTTGAGATGATTTCGGACACTTCGAACAATATGTTGTAGTTTTTTTTTTACATTTTTTCTCACTTCTTGGCATGTGAAAGTTTGCCTCATCTTCTCGTAACATAGGGCGCACATCCTTCTTACAAGCTTGCCTTGCTGATTCTTACGAATCTCCAAATGATGGGACACCTTCTTCGTTTTCTTTCGATGGTTGTCGAGCACAGTATTTTCTGAGGACACATCGGACCATTCGGAAACGAGAATTTCCCGAAATTTTCCCGTATTTTTCTATTTGTGGTTGTTTGGTACACAATATGAGCATTTACCATAGTTGTTCCTAAGAGTAAATGTAGTGCTAATTTCCGATACCACTCGATGCTTTTCCGTATCGTAGTGACATATGAGACCATCTGGTTACTTCTGTCGATACTAGTTTTTCCATTATTGTATACAATTACCGCCAAAGGTTTCTGTTTCGGAGGACGTCTGCGATATGTAGAATTCGAGCTTGAAATCATAATGGGTGCATGTTTTGTTGATAATATTCTAACATCTCGAACATCTCTCCGTTTGAGCATCACAATACCGTTCTTATCTTCTCGTGTTATCATTTCACCTCTCTTCAACTGGTACGACATTATGAAATTGTTCTTTTGTTGTACCGTACAGTTCCAACGACATGCGTCCTAAAATTTAAAAATTTGACTGCTAACTAATAGCTTGTATAAAAGTTGTCGACGAACTAAGTTCGTCCTTCATTTACCAATTTATCTGCAAATTCAATGCAGACGTTTTCAGCTGTGCCAACTTGCTTACTTCCAGTGATATCTCGTCCGGAATATACTTTTGCAAACCATGTGTAACCTTCGGTGGAACACAGTTTGAATAGTTTTATACCATACTTATGTGATTTCGTCAGTATGTATTGCCGAAAAGTTAGTCGTCCCCTCCAAGAAACCATTGTCTCGTCGATTACAACATCTTCGTCTGGTGAAAAATTTTTTTGGTAATTGTCTATCAATATGTTTATAAGTGGTAAAACTTTCCCTCTGCTTTTCTGTTCTACGGTTTCGTTATTTACAAAATGCAAGTTTACTAATAGCAATTCAAAACGATTACGGGACATTCTGTTGCGTGCAAATGGAAAGTTGTAAATAGTGTTAGTTGATAAATTATTCTTATATTTTTTTATTACCTTTTAACATAGTTGAATTAGTATAGTTAAAGTTAGTATAGTTTCCATTCCATTAATTACCTTTTAACGAATTATAGCTCTGAATTTTACTAGAATATACAACTTTCATCGTTTACATAAAATTTTGTTCGACTTGGACAAAACATATTTACAGAAGTTAAAATAAAAAGCAAGACTAATTTCTTTGTATTTTTACAGTCCATTTGTCTTCAATAAAGTATTGTCCTATCCTTATATTTTCTATTCTTATATTTACTCAAAGTAAAAAATTTGGGAAATTATAAAAATGTATGTAATAATAATCTGAAAATATGATAGCAAGTATCTTATAAAATTTATAATGTAAATTAAAAAGTCGTATATATATTTGTTTCCCTTACTTTGCATTAGTGCAGAATATTTATCTTGTTTCCTATTGATGGTTATAAGCTTCGCAGTTAACTTCATCGAAGAATTATAGCTGACGTGTGATAAAAAAAGAGAAATAGGAAATAAGCACTATCAAGCAATCGACAGAGCTGCTAAATGACATGAATATGACAGGAAGTGGTGCCTCTACTCGATTTCTTGTGGGTCAGGAGCGTGGGTAGAAGGTAGAACCAAGTAACTGGAGCGCCCCTCCTACTCCTACAAACCTGCCCCTCCTCATTTCTACTTTCACCCTTCCTTACCGATCCTTCTGCGCTTATCCAGCTCTGTAAATGTAAGATACATAATACTGAAAAACATCTGCTGTACGTTCGTTTATCAAGAGCGAATATCCATACAAAACTATTTATAATTGAACTACATAGGAAAGATTTCTGAAACATCATTAATGTCTATTGGTAAGAATAATATTTTTAAAATAACATTGAAATGCCATCATAACTATGATATGGTGTGCGATTGTAAATATAAATGTTAATTATCGAATAGAGAAATAATGAACTTTGCTTGTTCTTATATGCTTACTTAGCTTCTAAACTTACTAACTTCACTTGAAATTAATAATGTGAAATTTCCCTTGAAATTTAAATTACCTTAGAAAAAGTATGTGACAAAATGACATCACAAATAAATAAGAGAATATACAAAAAAAAGGAGATTAAATATGTTCTATTACTTTATCCATTATTTAAATAGAATTGCTTGTTTATAAAATTAGATAACAAAATTGTACTCTCTTTTTTAACCTTGACCTACTTTCCTCTAACACATGAAATCGAGTATAAGAATAGAATATAATATCTGTGTAAATTACAAAAGAAAAAGCTTTTGGAAACAATGAAATTTTCGTGCACGAACCTTTGTCCTTTCGTAAATGTTTGTAAATAAAAAATCAAGATATTATTGCATCGTTGTGCAATTTGTGTACCATGTAACATGCTGTAACATCTGTCAGGAGTTTTCAGATTGTAGATACTCCTACAATATAGCTTCGAACAACGGGACGGACAGCCATGTTTCGGACAACATTTGAGCTCTGCCTGCTCAATACACGCTTGCACACATCAGTTTCCATTCGACTTTCCACAGTTTCACCTTTTCATCCTGGTCATTTAAAAAAAAACTAATCGAAAAGATTTTATTTTACTGATTGTAGGTATGCAATAGTAATATAACTGAGATGTATAATAGGTCGGTGATGGGGCCTAAGGGGCTGGTTGGTGTGTGTGAAGGCCGGCTGAGATAAGGTTCTGCTGCGGGTGTAAATGTCGCTGCTGTTTTTCTTCCACTTTTGATGCGTAGAAGAAAAATCGGACTCCGGTCGCCGGGATTCGGAACCCGGGTCCCGTACCGTTCGTAACCTAAGGCGCTAACCACTGCGCTGCCGTCGTTCGACACTAGTTAATGTCGAGTGGTGGTATTTGCTGTCAAGTGCCGCCACATAACTTAAACGTAATAACATTCTCCTAATCTTTTACAACACCGTTTTTATGCGTATAGCCCATAGTAAACTTTACGTGATTGTTTGAGTAGTTACATTTTTATTTCTAGCTCTCATAGTAGTAGTAACGCAAATAAAACCAACCACCACAGGTGATCTACCGTTATATGAACAACCTAGCTTAATCATCTTTTAAATTTTATCTTTTTTTGGTGATAAGAAAACAATATCAGAGGAAAACATTATTTTGTTTCGAAAGACTAAATATTATGGTAAGCATATTTTTTTAAATGGTAAGTACTATATATTAGTAGCATCATTATATATATTTCTAATATAAAAATACTTGTAAAATGAAATTCATGGGAATCTCTTACTGAAAAAATCATATCATTTTTATATTTAATGTTTTATTTTTTAAGAAATGTAACGCCTATACTCTTTCCATAAATTAATTATATAAGAATATTTTTGAAAAACAAATTTTTTAATGGAAAATTCATAATAATTTCGTAAACTAGATACGTCTATATAAGTAAATCTCATTGACATCGAAAAAATCATATCATTCATCAATTTTCCATTAATTTATACACTTTAATAAAACTCACTTGTGAAATTCGCTAGAAATTAATCAAAGTGACTTATGATGGTATATATAGATGTACGTGCACAAGTAACTTTCAAGTTACTTGACGATACACGTATGTACATTGTACATACATATATAAATACATAGACGGTTATAAAGACTGAGAATGATATTAAGCAGCGCGGACGAAGCATCTTTAATAGTGACGAGCAACTTCTACAAGTCACCGGTATAATGTAGAGCTTATTCTACTCCTGTTTTATCTCATTGCAACCGGTTTATGAAGAAATTACGCATGGCATTAGCCATTTACAGAACAAAATGAGAGTGCGCGGCGTCGTACGTACCTATATTCAATCAGCTGCATTCTTCTGTTTCGTAAACTCGAGAAGATACGTTCTATATTTCCTATTCCGGTTTCCAATAAATTCTGGCAAATTATTACGTAGTATTTATGTATATTGATAAAGGATTCTATATTATATATATATGTTGCAATAAGTTGTATTAAAAAGTTTTATATATATATACACATACATATTATGTAGATACTTAAATACTCTGTATAACTACAATATTGATATTTGCCAGAGAAAAATTTCTTTTATTATTTTTATTAACTTTTTCATAAAATAAAGGGAAATAAAACAAATTAGGTAGCAGAAAATTGATAATCAATATACCTATAAACAAATTCTTAATGTATCGAACTCAAATATAACAAGATTATATTACATATAATACTCAATATGTAGATACATGTTCCTCGTTTCGTCATTCCAAGCAGATGTTATATTACTATTGTCAAAAATGAATTTTTATGAGTATATATAGTATATAGTGTGCGTTCAGTTACATTCAAATTAAGAGCGGCAGCTGATATCGTTACGAGAGATCGCTTATTGCATTACACGCTCCAGGTGTTTGGTAAAGCTTATCACTATGTTCTGAGAGTCAAAAAATAGGACGCTGTCACATCGATTCTATGTCAGTTCATGAGTTTGTTATTAACCTACTTATTATATACATATTACATCCCTAGTGCACAACTTGAACAAGAAGCACAACCTCGATTCACATTATGCTACGTACCGTAGTAAATAATAAATGTTTATTTTAGAAAATTGATGAACAATTGATGAACAATTTATAATAATACGCATTATTTACACGAATTTATAAAACACACGTTAAATATTATTAATATTAATAATAAATATTATAATTTAATATAAATAATATTAAATTATAAAAATTAATAATATTAATAAAATAATATTCATTCAGCTGGTAGTATCTACATAAACTGGAAAAATTTATTCTTAAATTGATTGTGAGTATATTTAGTTAGCAAACACTAACCTATTAGACGCGATGAGTTCCGTTTCTACTTGAATTTTTCTCGATTTTGTTTTTTCTCTTGGAAACTAAACAGGAAGAAGTTCTTGATAGCAATGACGCTAGAATTTTAATTCTACGGTATTTTAAAGAGATTTGACAACTTCTCCAATTATGAATCGCGCTCGGTATTGATGTGATCCTGCACAAGTAAACAAGATATAATTAAACATCAAAGGATGGTGGTTATACTAGGCTGATGAGCGACCGGAACAGAAGCGCAATCTCTTCATATTTATAATAGTATAGGTATACTATACTAGATAGGACGTTTTCTAAGAGCGCACCTTTTGAATAAGTGGTAGAATTACGTGGGACGAGAGTCTCTGTACGCGTGAATGATCGCGGCTCGACTCGACTCGTGGTAAAAAGAGATACGATAAAAAGAGAGACGCGGTGAAGGGACAAGCAGCAGGGAACAAATAAAAGTAGACTGTAGAGTGCAGAGTTGCAGAGACAGCTGGTCGCTAGGGCTCTATCTCCCCAGAGAATAGAAAGAGACATAGAGCACGGCACGGTGACGGCGAACAACAAGCCTATATGACGCACGCACGGATGCACACACAGTCTGAACATAAGTGCGCACATGCGCATCGACTACCACCTACCTTCCTTCCTATATTCTGACTCTGGCCAACTTCGTGACCATCGTTCCATGACGCACCAGGAACCAGTACTACTTATATATACCAGCGATCGTGAAAATTCACTGAATTCATACTGTCATTCTCATTCAGATCAGTTTTTCTCCGTTGCTCTACCAACCAAACATAGAACTTCATCTTTTCAAAACGCGAACTATTAACTCAAAATTAAACGAAGATTATAAGATTTCATTATGTAGAGTAAGACTTGGTTATCATCGCTTATATTATAAAGAAATATGCAATATTGTTTCGAAGTAACTAACTACTAACAATACGCATATTAGCATTCAAATAAAATGCGTTCAGTCAGTATTCAAAGGAACTAGTATTTGAAGCAATAAAGGATATAGTTCAAATAATAAAGTAAATGTTCACTACAAATAATTCCTAATGTATATGATTCTTATTAATTAGTGCTTTCTTTTGTAAAATAGTATGAAATGTTTAAGTACACGGTACGTGTAGAACATATATTACTCTGCGCATACAAACAGCATACACGACATTGTCATGTATCTAATTATATGGCTCTTCGCAACGAGAAAATAATATACAGGGTGGTTGGCAATTGGTGGTACAAGCGGAAAGGGGGTGATTCAACGCGAAAAAAGAAGTCGAAAATATAGAATAAAAATTTTTCGTTTGAGGCTTTGTTTTCGAGAAAATCGACTTTGAATTTTCGCTCGGTACGCGTGCAGTACGTTATAACGGATCTCACTGTAGATCGTCGTCTCGATGGAAAAATTAAAAAAAAAAAATTTTTTTTAAATGTTTATTCTATATTTTCGATTTCTTTTTTCGCGTAGAATCACCCTGTATATATAAACATTTCCTAGTTTTCCATGTGTGTTGATTACTCGTTAATTAAAACTAAATATTACAATTCTGTGTCATATATATCATAATATTTCAAGTTTCATAAATCATTATTCGCTAAACATACATAAATCTCCCTTTATTAGATTAAAATCATGCAAAAAAGAATTTTAACGTAACACTTGTTTAGACTTCAGATAGTACAAGCGATAAAATCTAGCAACGTAAACAGAAAATACACAGCTGTGATTATTTCGTGAGATGTAACATAACAATGGTGAAAAATAGTAGCAGCCAAGTTATGCTTTTGCCATAATCATGCTATAACCATTTTCGTTATAGGACCGGTGGAGCCTACTGTTGTTATATCATCTTGCCATTTTTTTTTCTCAATATCATCGACTTCATGGTTTTAAATGCTTTAAGATTTTATACTAATGTGTATGTCTAAACGTTAAACATACTGATTTACACTATCGTTTGTCTGGTATTAAAATTAAAACTGTCTAAGTAGTATACGCTATAATAGCATAGTGTATAGACAAACCACTAATACAATAGGTGTCTTAAAAGTAAGTTAGGTTTCGATTGTCGTATGGTTTCCATTTCCATCGCTTTAAGAGCTTAAAACTTAGAATTTAAAATCCATGATGCCTTGAAAATTGAAAAAGTCGTTTAGCAGAATTTTCTTTTCTTTTGTTTGAGCAAGAAACATCAAGAACAACAACAAGAAAAACACGAGAGAGAACGAGGCCGCACACCGCACCACAGGATGAGAAACGGCGTAGTGAAACGAGGTCGAATTGCGAGGTCGGAAGAGCTTCTTTTATCGCCCTTCCTTTGAAAACACATATTATGTACTCTTGTTCGTATACGCACTTTGAGTTCAAGTTGAGTTTAATTTCATGTTCTTCCTATTTTTTATTTATTTTAACTTAGAACTTTTATTTATAGAACTTAGAATCAGTAAGAAAGTATGTAAACCGGAAGTCGTCCAAAGCCGAAAGGCAGGGACTATGTTTAATAAATAATAACTTAGAACCAATTTTACCAAACAAAAATGCCTATAACTAATAATCATAATTATGATAATTGTAATAAGTATATAGTTTGTAAAAACTGATTATGCAACTAAATGTAAAAACTAATTTTCGTAAATATCGCCATCAAGGTAGTATTTGAACGAATACATATGTTACTAATTACGTAGTTGAAAAATAGGATGACTTCGATAAAAGAAGGCATATCAACTGAAAAACAAGTATAATGCGTGTAATTAAAATCTTATATGGGCGCAACGAAAACGAGCATAAACAGTTACAGAGACAGAGAAGCAATTAATCGGATGATAAACACACAATTGAAGGTGATAAAAGTGTGTATATACGCTATCAAAATAAAAATGAGAAATACAAGTCCATTTATGTCCAAGGCTAAGATTTTATCTGCCAACCTACGTTCAATACACAGTATATCTGGAATATCTTAAATTATAAATGGATGTGATATTACGAAAAAAATCTAATCCAAGAATGCTAGAAATTATGTTACAAATGTCGATAATATAATATAAACGAATTATGTATATTATCGATAATTCTCATATTACCTAAAACCACTCGTTATTCTGTGCTAAAAACACCTACAGTTAATGATAAAATTGTATTATGTGATACTATGACACTTTACCGCGTGCTGCGCCGTAACCGACATGGTAGCGTCATTTCTGGGAATTGAAAACCTACTTTGTTGTCTTAGGTCTTAG